AGAACTTTATAAAATAGATTGAAAATCTAAAAAATGACATTTAAAAAGGAACGGAGAAAATAAGTATTAAGAATAAGTCTGATAAGTGTTACACGTAAAAGATTTTGTGATATGCAAGACTTTATAAATTGAAAATTGTTTCACTCTTTTTTGTCACTGAACTTATTTTTTTTCATAACATTACACAATCTTTGACTAAGGCTGACAAAATGGATAGATGGGATGAATATGGATTAGATTGTTAATGGATGGATCAAAATAATCCCTTAATCCATTAACAATCCATAAAAAAATCTCTTTAAAATATTCAATCTAATCTATCCATTAAAGATAAAATTCATCTAACTCATCCTCCATTAACATATTTTTAGTTGATCAATATCCATCCATCCAAAAAATATATATATCTTTTACTTTTGAAAAAAAAAACAACTTTTTTTTTTATTTTTTTAAAAAAATATTTTTTATTTTTTGAAAAAATCGATTTTTTTTCTTTCCAAAAAAATTATTTTTTATTTTTAGTTTTTGAAAAATATCAGTTTTTAATATTTTCTGGAAAAAAATATATTTTTTATTTTTCGAAAAAAAATTGTTTTTTATATTTTCGAAAAGAAAACATTTTTGTTTGTATTTTTTGAATTTTTTGTTTTGTTTGTATTTTTTGAAAATAATCGACTTTTGTATTTTTGGGAAAAAATCGATTTTTTATATATTTTTTTTAAAAGTGCTAGAAAATTCCTATTGGCTTATGAAAGCTATTATGAAACAGCCGAAAAATATTCAACATTTACCAGTTTGGAATGAGATGAAGCATAATAGAAAATTTAATATGAGAAATATGTTTATGGCCTTGCGTAGCAGTAACGAAAAGGATGAATGGAAGACCCTATTTTATGGGAATGTGGCTCAGCCTAGGGCCATTATTAATTTGTGGCTAGCTTACCACGAGAGGCTTGCAACTAGAACTAAATTGCATAAGTTTGGTTTGATTGATGCAACCAAGTGTTGTTTCTGTAATGCAGATGAAACTGAGTAACATCTTATGTTTGAGTGCAAAGAAATCAAGGTTATTTGAGGGAATATCTTAGATTAGATTCAGTTCCATCACCACCCTGCCCCATGGAGTCAAGAGATTAAGTGGATTATCCAACATAGCAAAGGTAAAGGGAAACGAGTTGTTCTTCTTAAATTGGCGACTGCTAAGAGCATTTACGAAATATGGCGGTATACAAATGATATTAGTTTTGAGAATGATGTACATAATAAGAAAATTAAATATAGAATTATTGATATGATGGTGTATATAAAGGTTGGAACAATAGAAAGTTAAGGAACCATCTAACTAGGTTAATGCTTACTAACTTAATGGCTTGTTTTTGTTTGACTTGTCCGTTTTGATCTTTTAGATTTGATCAAAAAATTTATTGGTTAATAAAATAATTAATTTTTTTTTTGAAAAATGATTTTTGTATTTTTCAAAAAATTGTACATTTTTTGGAAACAAAAAATCATTTTTTTTTAATTTTCAACAAAAATCTGTTTTTTTATTTTTAGGAAAACTCTATTTTTTTTGTATTTTCGAAAAAAAAAACAGATTTTATTTACTTTACCAAAAAATCTATTTTTTTCATTTTTAGAAAAAAATCTGCTTTTCTTTTTGCATTTTGGAAAAAAAGTTTGTTTTTTGTATTTTATAAAAATTTATTCTTTTAAAAAAAATATTTTTTTTTTATTTTTAGAAAAAATAATTTTTTTAATTAAAAAAACTATTTTTGTTATTTTTTAAAATAAATCTAATGAAGATAAAAATTAAAAAAATTTACCTCGTACCCCACAATTATACTCATACTCCTATCAATTAAATTTTTGGATGGAAATACCCCTGTACAAATAGCAATAATTTCAAGTTTTTCACTTTTTTCCTCATTTCATCCCAGCAAGAGTGGTAAAAAAATCCTAAATCACGTTTTACTCCCGGAAAACCCAAACACAAGACTTTCGGTTCATAGCTTTTCACACTGGATAACTAGCAAGTGAATTTTTCGGTTTGTTTTTTCTAGTTATTTCACACTGAATAACTTGGCATCATGTTATCCGATTTATATATTTTCCACACCGGATGATTTGATGTTATGTTATCTGGTTTATGTGTTTTCCATACCGGATAACTTATGTTCATGTTATCTGGTTCCTTTAGTGCCTTCTCCGGAAATCTTTATATGAAGTCTTCTGGTTTGTTCTTGATAATTGACTTTTTTTAGTGGCTCGCTTTAGAGGACGCGACATACATATTTATTCGATGATAGACTGATGGAAAGACAATTAGACAGTAGTCGAATCGAGAGGAAGATCAGATTGATGCACCTGCACCTGTTCTTATTCCTATTTCACTGCATACACCGTTTCTTGGAGGACCGTCTGATACATCACTTTTGGTGAGGTATCAGAACCACATTGCTCGTCATCTGTGGGATGGAAAAGTAAGCCAATCTATGACCTTTCAACAGTGAATAAAATTTAATTTTAATTATTTATGTATGATGACATATATTATGAATTATTTTCAGGAGAGAGTTCCGAAGAAAGAGCTGAAGGTTGTTGTACATGGCAGCAAATTGATTGGATGGGCTCCTCATAGTCTCCCACCAACGATTGAGTCGTGGGCATCTGATTCTAGTCTATCTTATCTGCAGAGAACCAGTTTATAGAGGATATATCAGAACTTGCTATCTGCATTTATTAAGAGGTGGCACCCTGAAACGTCGTCCTTCCATATAGCGTTTGGCGAGATGACTATTACATTGGACGATGTTTCTTACCTGCTTCATATACCATGTAAGGAGGAGTTGTGTAACTCTGTAGAAAGGTTCACTGACTCGGATGCTATTACTCAGGCTATTTGTCAAATGGGTGTTCCGCTAGACGAGGAAGCTGAAGAGATTCATGTTTTCAGAGGTCCCTATTATAGGTTGGATTGGTTGAAGAAGATATTTGTCCGTCAGCGAGCTGAGAGCAAATATGATTGTGCAGCTAGAGCATATATGTTATTGTTACTAGGTTGCACTATTATTACTGATAACATCTTTACTCTTATAGAGGCAAAGTATTTACCACTATTTGAGGACTTGTCTAGATGTGGTAGATACTGTTGGGGGCAGCTACACTGGTCACAGTTTACCGATATCTCGGAGATGCTTCCTTTTACAATTGCAGACAGCTTGGGGGATATGCATTTCTACTACATGTACAAATGTTTGATTTTAATTTCATTTAGACTTGTATTAGCTTATTTATAATATTTTAAATTGATAATATTCATGTTGTGTAACAGTGTTATATTATGAGTATTTTCTAATTATTGGCAAGAGAGGATTTTCAAATATCGCTGGTATTGGTAGTCCACTTCCTAGGGCGATGAAGTGGATGTACAAGCAAGGCACGCAGAAGGTTGATGAGGTGAGGGTTGTGTTGGATGGATTGACACTTGTTGATGTCATTTGGCGCCCTTTTCAGGATCACAGACAACATCGACCTTTTGATGATATTTGCTTGTACAGGGGTGGCCTGCAATGGTATGGTACTAACGTTATTTATTTACCTGACAGATTTTTGCGTCAGTTTGGATACATGAAGTACATACCATCTCCGCCTCTTGATGTTGACACACTTTATGTGGATTTTGAATGGGTTACATACCATGCGAGCGACATGAACGTGATTCGTTCGGCCGAGTTTGCCGATACTCCATATGATGCGGTGGCCGATTACTTAGATTGGTACTACAGAGTGTCACGTCTTCGTTTGGTACCACCATCTCGGGGGAGGCCATAGAGGTCCATGTTCCTGTGTTTGATGCTGGATCGTCAGATCTGAGGTTGTTACATATTTCATATGAGCTTCGTCGTTATCTGCATCGTCATGAGGCGGAAGAGGATGACGATGATTTTACTGAGGTCTTTAGAGTACTACGTATAGCTGGGGGCGGATCGGTACCTCAGGGTAGACCGATAACTTATGTTAGTGATCACGATGATGCTTAATGTATTATCTTATATTCAGACTTATGTAGTATTATTCAGACTTATATAGTATTAATCAGACTTATGTACTATTGTATTATGATTTATATTTATGTAGTATAACTCATACTTATATTATGATTGATGTTGTATACAAAACATAGTTAATACAAACAAAAATATAACATGAATTCAATCGTCAACACAAACCAAAAAATAAAATGAAGTCAATCGCCAATCCAAAATATAAAAAATCAAATTACAATCATAAAATAACATGTTTTGGGACCACATGTGTAAGTTGTTTCCAATGTTGTAACCGTCCAGCAAATCCTATTATTCAAGATGTTGCACCTTTTGTGCGATGCTCCTTCCAATCTACTACGACCGGTGGCAAGGGAAATCCTTCATTCATGTTTACCTATTAAGAAAATTAATAAGTAAGACTTAAATCATAGATAAGTATTTAATATAAAAAAAAAGAATATTTACCTGAACCCAATGATTTGAGTTTACAAAACCAATGCAGTAAATGGACACATTAAGATTATATGAAGTCGCCATAGGGAATTAACTCAAACTAAGAGCGCTTAATGACACAAGAATGACGTTATATCGAGTTTCTATCACATAACCCATTTCTGGTAGTGTCACCCACTTATCTACTGGCAGGGAACCTAAAGATGATATCAACAAGGATTCTCTCACTTTTGTTAAGCGACTTCCAAATAACTTCTCATAGAGACTATTTCTGGAACCTCTGATTTCATTATCCAAATCAAAAGGAACCATTGACCAACCATCCTTGCCATATCCATGCAATGATGCAATGTCTCTAAACCCACAATTTCCCTCATCCTTAACATCAACAATCTCATCAATAAATAGACTGGTATGTTCTGGAAATTGTACAATGTACATATTAGATGGTTTCTTCTTTGACGTTTGGGATAACTGTGAACATGGTCTCTTTGAATATTTTTAAGATCTACTATGTGCTTGATCAACATACTCATGATATGAAAAATCACGATAAATGTCATATCCTATAAGTTTCTTCCCTTTTCTCTTCACTCCTCCTTTGGTCTTTATTTTTTCAGGCGGCGATACCATCTTTGTTGTAGTAGGGTAAGCAATTTCACACACCCTACTTTTTAGTGCTCTCTTTCCTGCCACATCTAATGACCTGAACCTTTTCCATAGTGCATCAATTGCATTGGTCATGTCCACCTCTGCTCCATCCTATGTATCTACCTCTTGTTCGCCTTCCATGTTGAGCTTCCTCCAATGTTTATAAATAGCATCAATCGGTATTGATTCACCACTCAATGTGTATCTTCCTAACTCACAAGCACAAGGTATCCCGTATACTTTTCTATGACTACACTCACACATTTGGGTGTTTGTACCAACCATGTCAATCTAGTGCCACTCTTCAGCAATGTGTCTCAAAGCTGCTCTACATACTAACCCATGCAAATTCGCATAAAATGGAATAGTGTGTGAATCCTCAACTTCATAAAAACTCTTCTGAAATGAAGCTCCAATATTTCTCAATTGCACTTTGATGTTCCCATTCATAGCCTCCCAACATTTGCACATATCACCTAAATTGTTCTCCAACATCTGCTTCAATTTCCAATACGCAGACTCAGCCCTAACAAAAAAAGGTTCAGTTTCATTAATATTAAGATACACAAACTATGGTTAAAATCAAACACCTTACCTATTAGTTGTGATGTTACCCAAATGCAACACTTTATTGATCAAAGCTTCAACAAATCTATGTCTATGTGGCGTCAACCATGTGTCTATCACATAATCAAAAAATGGTCTAAAATCCATACAAGCATACTCAAGCTATTGCAACTTTTGATGGTACTCCACCTCATCATTATCCCTTACAATTTCATGTCATATCTTCTCTATCGACTCTCTCATATCATTCACAACAAACTCATTGCACTTTGCTTTCACATTCTTGTTGATGTGAAATCGACAAAGCATATTAATTGTCATTGGAAATACTTTTTCAATTGCTTTCATCAAAGCTAGATCTCTATTCGTTAGTATCACTTGTGGATATAACCCTTGCTTAGTGAAAAAAATTTTCAACTTATCTAATACCCAACACAAAGTCTCTGTTTATTCAGATTCCATATAAGCAAATGCAACGGCAAATGTTAACTCAGCTGATGTCATACCAACTACTTTAAACAATGGTTGTCTGTACTTATTTGTTTTGTAAGTGCTATCCATAATTAACACAATAGGAAACATATTCAACAACTTCACTAATTCTGGATGTGCCTAGAAGATATCTCTCACAACTTCAGGCTAATCTTTTTTCCTACTCCAATAAACATAATCAGAATCCCCTATTAACTTAAACAATTGTTGCATTTCCATTCTAGGTCCCCTGATGTCTTTCTAAATCTTACTCTTATGTTTATATATTTGAGTTATTCGAGTCAGACTCTCCAGATCTTGTTCTTGCAATGACAACAATATATGTCTTGGTGGAACATGACGTTTTGACAAATCAACAATATGTTGTTGGTCATCAGCATTAACTCAACTTACAAACGCATGACCTTCAAATCTATCAGGTAAACCATGGTTGTAAAGTCCACATTTTACGTCAATATTCCAACCAGGACCATCTTTAGAAGGTGTTGACCTAACTTTTAATGGACAACCACATTTCTTGGTAGCACTTTGTGTTTCATTATCTCCTTCTTTGTATTTTCCACCTCTATCACAACCAAATATGACTTTGTCACTTCTTCCTCTCTTTCCTGTTTTGATGTCCGAACAAGTTATTATAACAGTGACTCTATTTTTGATTTAAACCTCCCTAACCCACCTAGTCGCCTCTTCTCGTGTAGCCGAGAATATCTCTGTCGTGCCTACATATGTCTGGTTTTTGTCACATATCCTCAAAGGAATGTCCATGTCTCCTAACATAAGTAACAAAAATGAATAAAAAATTAATAAATAATAAATAAATAAATAAAAGCACGTTCCAGAACTCCTACGGGTAAGATATCCGGTTTAGAATAATACTAAACCGGAACACTTCAAGATACATTTTCTGGAACTATAAAAAAACTCAAACCGGATCACTTGTATCAATGTTATCTAAAGCTTTTCTGTCATTCAAAATCAAACCGGATAAATAGCATACAAGTTATCCAGTTTAGTAAAATAACACACTGGATGGATGACCGTCAAGTTTTTCGGTTTGATAATAATACAAACAGGATTTCTTTACCTGTAGTTATCCGATTCTTTTCGTATAGTTCCAAATAGTTGGTTTTGACTCAATTGACTGTGCAGTAAAAAAGTTTTAAAAAAATTAAAAATTAAAAGGGTAAAATTGGAACATTTATAAAATTGTAAGGGTATGGATATAATTGTGGGAGTATGGGGTAAAATTGAATTCATTTAATCATTAAAATATGTTGTATGGATTGGATCAATCCACGCATATAAATGGATGGATGTAGTTCAATCTATTAAGTTGCTTTTTATGTGTTGGATGTATTGGACGAATATTTTTACGGATGGATTGGATGGATTTTGTCTTAATGAATCTAACTGCCACATATATCTTTGAGTGGGTAAATGCTTGTTATAGAAAACAAGAATGATTTTTTTTCAATAACAAGTGTGAATCCAACATTACAATGAGTGTGTTGAGATATAATATATCCAAGTTGTGTGGCTCAAGCCCAAAGTTAATTAGGTTTTAGGGTTTGATACTTAATTTTAGGAAATTTCTTATTGCACTCTATATACTTCTAAAACACCATGTAAATTTTCTTATATTCTCCCTGATTCTGGAGATACATCTTCAAACACACCCTTTTTTTGAATAAACGTTGACATATTCCAGAGATATATATCCGGAACAATTTTAAAAATTCAGAATATGTCACTCATAAGTCATTTACATTTGAATTGTTCTGGAGATGCATCTCCGACAATATTTCAGAGATACATCTTCGAAATGTATCAGAACATGTTATTTTTTTGCCATAAGTTGTGTATTTATTTTTAGGTGAAGTATGATGCATGATCTCGAATAAAAAATAGATGTATAAAATGATAGGAGACTAATATTGGGTGTGTTAAAAATAATATAGCAATATAATAAAAAAAATTCATACAATCGAGGTCCAAAATTTTGTAACAATGTCAGAAGTAAAGTACAAACTATGGTACTACAACAAAATATTGACAGACAACTATTGGGTGTTCCTGGCAACCTCTCCTCTGCCTTCTCTTCCTGCTCTACCTCCTCGGCCATCAATCCTCTCGTCCTCCGACAATGTCTCCGATACAACAATTCCCTTTATTCCTCCACCACCATGGCATCCAAGACTCGTATGACATCAGACTCCTCAGGAAAGATACCCTCGTCAATGCCTGCCCATGAAATCTCCACTATGCAACGAAACCTAAGCAAAACATCATCAGTATGATCTAGTTGAGCCTGCTCCTCCTCTAGAATCTCCTGATGAGCTGGTCTCAGCAGATCTCTTGGAGCAATCTGCACCATGTATGGATGTGAGACCCTGAAGAACCACCTGATGTACCAATCGACGTAGCTCTAGTCGTTTGGCGTTATGGTAGCCTGTGCCTCCTCCGGAACTAGGTAACTCTCATAATCAGCAAACATTTCCTTTATATGTATACGAGACAAGGTAGTAAGAGCAGAGACAACATAGTGTCTGGGGATGGTCTGGGTGTACTAGAACTGCCGCATTACGCGCTCGGGCAGGTGAGGAGAAGTGATATACAATCCGCATACCAACCATCCAGAGTATAGCAATATCTTGACAAATGGTTGTGTCTAACGGTGATCTACGTATCAGTTAAAGTGCATGTCCTCATCAACCAAACGGTCAAGGTAGACTCTGAAAGGCTCGACCGCCTGGTTCCCTCTGTATGGGATAAAAGCACGGGCACAGGGCATGTCCTCGGTATACTCATCTACACTCTCCCAACCAGATATGTGCGGAAAGTACTAGAGGATCCAAGCCTGAAATGAAAATAAATAAAAAACATTCAAGGATAAAGAATTATCAACAATCGTTTTACAAATAAGAAATAAAAAAGATTTATAAAAAACATTCAAGGATCAAGAATTATTACCACCAGTAGTGTCACGCTGCCTATGACTTACTTCATCTTCCACAGACATTCATTCCTCAACTTTGAATAAAGATAGGCCAGGCAAGTCATCCCCCAATTGTACTCATGGATCTACTGTAGATCTAAGAAGCACCGGAGGTAGACGACGTTACTATAAGTGGTACTCGTGTCCACAAGAATACAAGTGCCAACTGAAAAAAGAAAGTATGCTCTCAAAGCATGCGTTTAGTGTACTGCCTGCTGCTCAGCATCATCATGTGTCTGTTGTTCCTTTCCGATCTCGGCCATATACAGCTTTCTCAGGAACTTAAATCTAACATGATCACCCATCTTCTTATCCATATACTCCATCGTTTTCTCTGGATCTGCCTCCAGATGCTCTACCATCATCTCAATTGCCTCGTCTCTAGTAATCCTTCCATAATCGAGGAATCTCACCCTGATCGGAAGATGTAACAAACACAATACATCTTCTAATGTGATAGACATCTCACCATGCAGCAAATGAATTGAAGAGGTCTATGAATTTCATCTCTTCATGAATTCATTAAGCATCATGTGGTAGACCAAGTTGTACTCAGCCAGGCATAGGTCCTTCAGGCCAGATAATAATAGAACTGACCGAAACCAACCGTCCTCCTGATGAGGCAATGCAGTAATCTTCCTCCCATGATTCAGAAACTTACGGGGATCACGCTCCTGAAATTTTCCAGAAATAATTAATGTCAGTAATAATCAATACCAAAAATAATCAATGTCAGCAATTAAAATTAAAATTAGTGCATAAAAAAATAAAAAATCCAACTAATGCTACCTCTCCATCCCAGATATGTCTGGCAGTATGGTATAGATACAAAGGAAGTAACAACATATCATATGGACCTCCTCCAAAACCCTCTGGCTCAGCATCCGCAACATCCTAACCCTCCGGAGGTGGCACTAGATCTGTAGGAGGTGACACTGGTGAATCCTGACGCCTGTAGGAGGATGGAGAAGTGACTTGTCAGATGGTGAATCTCGTCTCCTACAGGAAGAAAAATAAGAAGGTGGAGTGGTTTAAGATG